TCCTCATTAGCCCACTTCTTCTATGGCATCTTTTGCAGCCAGGCCTGCATTTCTGAGTCACAGGTCTTTCCGGAAGGCCACTGCAGCTGAGAACCGAGCTATCCTTTGGTCATAAGAAGTGGGCCGGCTGGGAAGGGCTGTCGGTGCCAGAGTTGAGTATAAAAGACACCCTTGAAAATAAGATCTGGTGCCTCTTTTGGAGGCAAAAATAAATAAATAAATAAATAAATAAGACCCGGTCTTATTTTCGGGGAAACACTGGTAATAGTCAGCCAATATGTAAATTTACCTGTTCACAAAAAACTAGCAGCTTGTAAGAATATTGCAAAAAAAAAAAAAAAAAACCCTGATTCAAATGGATTGGACCTGCTTCTTAAGTTCATAAGCATTTCCCTATTTTGTTCCTCCTTGTTTGCTCCCTGCCCATGTAGCTAAACAAAGCTTGACTTGTTTGTCAAAAATTATATATGCATATGTGCAGTCATGAGAGTTAAGGGCAATAGAAATTGAAGGGGGAGGGTTGTTTCTAGTTCACTAGATTTTGGAAATGCTTCTGATTTACTTTGGGCTTAAACCAGGAGTAATAATTATGTCAATGTTTTATTGGAGTACCTGATTATTGAGCAACATTCTTCTAGGTTTTCTATTTCATGTACTTGATGGAAACGTTTTGTTTTGCACCTGCAGCTCAAACTTCTCATATTTTTAAATGTTTCCTCAAGTACTCAGATAAGTTAGCCAGGGCTTTGTAAAAAACAACAACATGATGCCCTCAAACCTCAGTTACTGGTTTGTATCTCAACTTTGATTTTTATTTGCAGTAATTTTCAGTAGAAATATCTCCATAGATAATATTTATGAGTGAGCCAAAGGACAACTGATTGTGTGTTTGAAGCTATACAATAATAATATGTTGAGCTCAGTGTCAGTAAAGTTTCCATCATATAATAATATACTATTCACATCATGGCTTAGAAAAATCATTCTATAGCAGCCCCAACCTACTGGTAAAGTTTCATTTAATTGGCAGTAAGATTTACTATTGCCAAATTAGTATCGTTCTTTTCTTTCTTTTTTTTTCCTTTCAAACACAATTCTACATACTCCTCACAAAGATCTAGGAAGCGAGCCAGATGATGCATTAACCTCAGTCCTAGGTTAATGCAGAGGCTTAATTTCTGGGAAATGATGATTGAGGGAACATTTTGAAGATTCTGGACAAGACACCAAGAGGCTGCTTCCATTGTTTTATATTGTCGCAAATTTAAAATAACAAAATACTTAGTTGATTAGCCAAAACTTCACTCTTGCTCTATTGATGTTCTAAAATAACACTTTGTTTCTCTTTACATGTATAAATTCCATAAATTATAAATAAACCTGTTAGTGAGTTGTCTTTACCATAAAAACTTTGAAGATAACTAGAATCCTGGTTCTAGTACACAATGCACTTCAGACTTTCCATGCAAAAACATAGTGGTTTTTACCATTCCCCATAGGATACTTAATATTTCCTGTTAGTACACAAGAATATTATGGAAAAGTAACTTTAATATGCTTCCCATAAACTTTTCCTGCTGTTCTCAATCATAAAATATGAGGAAAAAAATAACTGAAGAAACTCAGATACTCAGAACTTCGTGACATCATATCTGATTCCCATTAAATGGTCTTGTCTAACCTGAAGACTGGAGTGGAAATTCAGTTCCCATAATCCTTGCTCCAGTGATCAAAGACAATGCTAACAAAGTAAATATGAGAAACATCACAATGAGTGGTGAAGGTTCATGGAAAATTGTGACTTGGAATGTAATTAATAGTAAAAATCATGTCTTAATAAATGAATTTAAAGAAAAAGAATGAAATGAACAGAAGAACAAGTTATTTCAGATTTGATAAATCTGAATGAATATGGTTAGAGCTCATGGGGTTGATGAACACATGGAGGGAATTGAAGATGCAGGCTTAATTATGAATGGACTAACATGTTGTGTCAAAAGGTTGGAATAAGTGTCATCTAGATCAGTGGCCCCCAACCTTTGGGGTGCCAGGGACCAGTTCTGTGGGGGTTTTTTTTGGCAGATTTCATGCCCTTCCTGGATCCTGTGCATGCGCAGATGGGGCTCTGCTCACTTGTGTGGCCTGATTCCTGGTACGCCGTGGACACGTGCCAGTCTGTGGCCCAAGGATTGAGGACCCCTGAACTAGAGTATAGTGAGTTGCATGAAAGGAATTCTTCAAAAGTAGGTCATGGGTGCAGGTTACATCCCAATGGTAGAACAGAAAAAACAAAAGTGAATTTTGGGGGAAATTGCATAAGTTTCTCCAACTTAAATACTGGATTGGAGTTCAACTCCCATAAATCAGAGGGAGAACAGAAAAACTGATGGGTTATTGAGAGATCCAAGAATGTATGAGCATGGTAACTGGCAACTGTTTACAAAAAAAAAGTGTATTTGTTGTCAATACATCATTTAAACATAAACCTATTCATATGCAATAAAGTAAAGAAATGAAAAGAATTTATAAATAAAACAGCATAATCGATTTCATTGTTTATTATAAGACACTGAGATAATTAGTGAAGGAAGCAAGGAAGATGAGAAGTTCTGAATGTGAAACAGACCAATGTTTGGTATTGGATCTTGGAGAGAAAATGGATTTATGGATTAAATAACAACTAAGTCACCAGTATGAAATATGATGTGATGGTTTGATCATATAGAGAGAATGAATGAGAAGCAAACAGCAAAACAAAAATATAGAAAGAAAGAGTCAATGGGACAAAAGGAAGAGAAGAACGAGAAAGTTTTGGTTGGGTGAAACTAAGGAATTCTTCAAAAAGAGACTGGTGAGAAGTTTAAAGAAGAAAAACCATCATCTAAAGAGGCTTGCTATGGATCATAGCAATAGCACTTAGTTAGACTTACAGTGCATTCAGAAAGTATTCAGACCCCCTCTACTTTTGTCAATTTTGTTATGTTGCAGCCTGATTCATTTTTTTTCTCATTAATCTACAGTCAGTAGTCCATAATGATAAAATGCAAACAGAAGCTTATAAATGTCTATAAATTTATTAAAAAGAAAAAAAACCTGAAACATCACATTGGCATAAGTATTCAGACCTTCACTCGATACTTTGTTGAAGTACCTATGGCTGCAATTACAGCCCTGAGTCTTTTTGGGTATGACGCGACAAGCTTTACACACCTGGATTGGGGGATTTTCTGCCATTCATTCTTGCAAATCTTCTCAAGCTCAGTCTGTGGACAGCCGTATTCAGGTCCCTCCAGAGATGTTCAATACAGTTCAAGTAAGGGCTTTGGCTAGGCCTCTCCCTAAGGAACTCCTGTGTTGTCTTGGCTGTGTGCTTAGGATCATTGTCATGTTGGAAAGTGAACCTTGGCCCAGTCTGAGGCCCTGAGTGCCGTAGAACAGGTTTTCTTGAGGATATCCCTGTACTTTGCCCCATTCAGTTTCTCTCAACCCTGACCAGTCTCCCAGTCCCTGCTGCTGAAAACACCCCAGCATTATCCCATGCTTCGCTGTTGGGATAATATTGGGCAGGTGATGAGCAGTGCCTGGTTTCCTCCAAACATAACATTTAGAATTGAGGCCAAACAGTTCAATCTTGGTTTCATCAGACCAGAGAATCTTGTTGCTCACAGTCTGAATCCTTCAGGTGATTTTTTTGCAAACTCCAAGTGGGCTTTCATGTGTTTTGCACTGAGGAGAGGCTTCCATCTAGCCACTCTGCCTTAAAGCCCAGATCGGTGGAGGGCTGCAGTGATGGTTTTCTTTCTGGAACTCTGTCCCATCTCCACACAGGATCTCTGGGTTCTTGGTCACCTCTCTTACTAAGGCTATTCTCCCCCAACTGGTCACCAGGTGACCAGTTCTTATAAGTGTACTGGTTGCACCAAACTTCTTCCATTTGAGAATTATGGAGGCCACTGTGCTCTTAGGATCCTTCAGTGCAGCAGAAATTTTATTATAGTTTCCCCCAGATCTGTGTCTTGCAAAAGGGAGGAAGTTATAATTCACTAATGAAGAAATGGCCACAGTAGAGTGGATTTTATACCTCTTGAGGTTCCCTTTGGATGGCGATAGACTAAGGTAGTAAATACTTGTACAGCACAGTTACAATTAAGGAAAATTTACACCTGTCTCAATCCTGGCCTTATTATTTATTTAAATAAATAAATAATTCCTGGGCTAAGGACAAGAAGAAGACAACATCATGAGACATGGCCTAAAAATGCTGCCAGCAGGATATGTTTGTATGGTCTTTAGATGTAAACATGGACAGCATTATGTATGGTCTTGAGATTTATGGAATGCAATAGGAAACAACATTGCACAAGATGTGCACTTCTGAAACTGGCTTATAAAGTCGAGATATGGTTAATTATGTTTATTTTTTTAATTGAGCGCTTTTCAATCACTTGAACTGTTTTTAACTAACCAATTTACCTAGCTTTTCTACAATACACCTATAAAACATGTTACAGATACTCCTTTTCTTACACTATTGTAACAAATTACCTGAATTCCTTCTTCCACAAACTTGCAGGTCTTGCAGATGCCAGCAAAACCAAAACAAGAGATGGGGTGACACGACTGAGCCCACAGATATATATATATCTATATATCCAAAAGCAGATTGGTGTCCCTGCGGCTTCGACAAAGTTGTGTAAATCGAATTTTAAAGTTGGGAATCCCATCCCGCAGCTTCCGGGTTGATGTACCGCCTATATTTCGGCACGATGTATCCGAAGCTGCGTTTCTGGCTGCGGGAGGGGGCACCCCGATCCTCCCCCTCCCTCTCTGCCGCCTCCAAAACAGCTGCCGCTTCGCTTCCTCCTAGTCTTCGCTAGGAAACTCCACCCGCGCGGTTGGATGGGGGGGAGGTGATGCAGAAGCGCGCCCTCTTCCTCCGACTCTGCAGTGGGTGATCGCAGGGGTTGTCCCCGTTATTTTGTTATTGTGGCTTTTTTTTTAGGGGTGGGGAGAGGAGAGCCGTGGAGCCCTCAGGCGGAAGGAAAGCGGCCTCATCGCCTTTAAATGGAATTGCTTGTCATCTGAGCATGCTCCTGAGCGGGCCAGCGAGGGGTATAAAAGGGCTGGGACGCAGCAAGGAGCGCTCAAGCAAAGAGCCGACGCCAGCCAGTGGGAGTGTTGGAGGAGCCTCGCAGGCGCTGCGCTCCTTTCTCGGCGGAGTCCTCGGCGCCTTTCCCGCGCAATTTCGCTCCTTCCCCGGGGAGGAATACTTGAAGCAGGCACGGAGCGGAGCCAGAGTCACCTCAGGGGCAGCAGCCACAACCGGCAGGTGCCAGACGCGAGCGGGAGTTTCGTGCTTCGACCCTGCGCGGAAGGGGGAATTGAAGGCAGCAGGATGGCAGCCGCCACCGCCAAGCCCGCCGAGTTAATGGGCATCTGCTCGAGCTACCAGGCGGTGATGCCGCACTTCTTGTGCATCGCCGAGGAATTCCCTCAGCCGATCCGGCCCGCCAAGCTGGCCAAAGGCAAGTTGCGCAGACCCCGCCAGTCCCGCTTCAAGACGCAGCCGGTGACCTTCGACGAGATCCAAGAGGTGGAGGAGGAAGGGGTCTCCCCCATGGAGGAGGAGAAAGCCAAGAAGTCTTTCCTGCAGTCCCTCGAGTGCCTCCGCCGCAGCACCCAGAACCTCAGCTTGCAGAAGGAGAAGAAGCTGAGCAGCTGCAGCCGCCTGAGGAACAGCCTGGACTCCAGCGACTCCGACTCTGCTCTCTGAAGATGGAGCTGCGCCTCGGCTGGGCTCGGGCGCGCCTCACCCACCACAGGGCAGAAACGGATCTGCCGCCTGGACTGTACTCGCCCCACCGCACCGCCCCCCCCCCCCGGCTCTCTGCTTCATACTGAAGTTGGCGAAGGGAACTCTGTGGAAGGGCATCAAAAAAAAAAAAAAAAAAAAAAATGGGGTGGGGGAGGGACAGTTTATGAAAAGACTTGATTACAAATAAACGTTCGTTCGGCTTTCCCTCCTCGCACAATTAGCCTTTGGGCGCTCGGGTTTATTTTGTATGATAAATCGAAACCCTTGCAAGGACTTGACAGGATGGGATCCCATTCTCTCCTCCACTTATTATTTTCTTTCTTTATCAATAAGAACCAGTATGAATGTGGTAGATGCTAAGAGCAGTCTGCAAATGTGTGCAGTCGGCAGAGAGAAATATTTTGTTAGGGGAAAGTGCTTGTACGTTTCTATCTTGGCTGTTTGAGGTTTTTTTTTCTTCACAACATGAAGAAAATTTAACAATTGTACATCTTTTTCTAAACGTTGAAGGGGAAAATGAAGTTTTATGAATGCAATCAGCTGCTGGACTTTATATTTATTTTTGCATTTAAACTCTAGACTGCATTAATTTAATACGTTTCTACCCAAATGCCTGTAATTATTTCCGCAAAAGAGAAATAAAGCTGTTATATTTGCACAATGCACTTAGACTGGTTGATGTGGACGGTGCTGTTTGGTGGTTTTCAGTCGTATGGAGTGGTATTGCATGGAGAATCTGGAGTGAAGCCAGGGCACTGTAGAGTTTTGTCATAAAGAAACAATTGTTATAAACATTAAAGTATGTTAACATAAATGTTTTTATATTAACAATTAGTTGACTGTTAGTATGTTTCTAAATCAACCATTTGTATGTGGAAGGCTTTGGACATTTTAATTGCTTTTTTCCAAAATAGTCTCTTAAGGCTTGGTATATTCCCCCCCCTTTCTGGCAATCAAATGGTTTGTCAAGTTTCAGAGTAGATATAGTGATGCTATTTATTATATAGTGATGCTGTTTATTACGCAAGGCACACAAGAATTTGGATGAGAAATCAGTAATATTTTATAAGAAGGGCATTGCATTTGTATCTTTTCCCTTTCCCTCTACATAGTTTTGTACTTTTAATCTTAAATTGCTGTATTTCAATTTATAACATTTTTAGAACTGAAGAAATACTAATCAACTTTTTGCTAATATATTATTTCCTCTGCCACATAAACATACCTTGCCATAATGTATATCTACGGTATTATTCTACTTTATTCTGCCAGATTTAATTGCAAGAGGTAATGCATTTGGGAAAATTTCTGGAAAGGCCTTTACCAACCTGGATGCTTACTGAATTAATTGAAATATTAGGCCAGATTTTTCTGGAAACAATTGTGAATTAAAAATAAGACTTGCTGAAGACTATAGAGTCAGCAAAACTAAAAGTATTAAGATTTGAACGCTAAATGCGGTAAATTTGAGTTGTCTATACCTTTCTTCTGCCCCAGTGTCTCTGTATAAGAAGGACAAATTGGTAGGCAACATTGAAAAATAGCACCAAAACAGCATTTGAACTACAGCTGTGCCAATTTTTATTTTTTCTAATGGGGGAATTTTAAATTTTTTTTCCTCCCATTGATTTAATATAAAGGAGGATGAGCCAGGAAAGTACTACTTTTCATGATCAATATTAAAAACCTTCAATATCCAGAAAAAAAGTTCACTTAACAGAGCATGCCAAACTGGAAGCTACTAATCCAAGCTTAAATGGAACAGTCTTATGTCTTAAGGTCTTTTACATTATTTAGCAGTTACCTAGTTAGCAGACTTTCTCCATAATTTGTACTATAAGAAACCAGTCGATATTCTCTATTTATTGTATTGATTTGGAGATTCAAAGTTGGCTCTTTTAGCCACAACTTTATATATAATACTGTAATATAACTGGAACTGGGTAATGGCCATTTATATTCACAATACAGGATAAATTTGAAATGCTTCTACCCTAGTGCTTCAAGAAATTTGGCTTTGCAGGGTTACTCTGAAAATATAAATGAAGCAATTATAAAATCTTGGGAATTATCTCAGTTTGTTATAACCATAATCCTTAGCTTTCCAGTGTGTCCTGTAAGCTGGCATTGACTTTTCACCACTGATATATAGATTATTCTTGCCATAAATGCCATTGTGAACTGATTAGAAAAGTCTGCACGCCGTCAGGGAGCCAATAGACATCCTGTACAGGAATCGAGTTTATATATGGTTCAAAGTTCCATGCATTCTTTCTGGGGATTTGGCCAGGAATGATAGATAATTTCAGTTCTTGAGATAATGCAACTTATTCCACTAAATTGTTTCATTTTTTTTAAATAAAACATTTTCCCCATTGAAAGGCTACATTGTTCTGCTAATAAAAAAAAGCAGCTAAAGTGATGTACGTTTCTTGGGAATATACTATGTATTATTCTATTTTAGTCCTCATATAGAAAATTGTATGAATACAGCACTGTAAAACAATTCCAACATGTAAGTATTTGTCCATAGAGCTGAGAATGTGGCCACTGGTGAAATATATTGGGAATGACAATTCTACATCTGGAGGGTTGTCTATTTCCAATACTTGGTTTAAATGTCAACAATACATATGAGGGTTTTTAATTACAACTGAGATTTAATCCAAAATAGGGAATTTCACTGATTTGTAGAGATGTGAAAATCCCAGCAAGCTCCTTTTCACAATATTGCTAGAAATTACTGATTCTTAAATGTGAAATAATACTAAAAATGTAACTTGCAAATGTCAATCTACAACCAAGCTGTTCAGTAACAGATATGCAATTGTATCCAGATGCCTTCATTTTCTATATTGCAAAGAGTTTGCTTGAGTGTTTAAAAGGAGCCATTTCTTAATGTAATTGTTTAAATGCAGTCTACATTGTATTGTTACTGTATTGTTAGGGTATATTTTTCACAGATAATTCTAGTAACGTTTCGGTAATAAGATGCCAGTACTAGGAGCCAATAAAGGATAGTATCTAAATGACAAATCTGTATTACCAAGCAGCTGAGATCTAATTTGGCAGAAATATCAAACATAAAAAGTAGCAGAAAAGTTTAGACCATTTGGGAAAGTCCTCAACAGCAGATCACAAGATGACTGATCACTGTTCGGGCATGATCTAAACTGGGATGTGCTACAGTGAAAGTTCTGGTAGAGCCTGCCCCTCCCCCATCCAACTCCACTTAAGTGATATTAGTTTCCTTGCAGTGTTTGTGCATACTCAGCACAACTGTCAGAAGAAGAGAATCCACATATAGTATACGTGGACATATGCCCATTGGCATGTGTCTTGCAGCCTTTGTTCTAAAGATTTAGGAATTCAGAGCCCTTACATGGAGAATATGCTGCTATAGATCAGAGGACCTATGTGATAAGAATTCTGGAGTCAAGTTCTGGATGGTTTTTTTTAAGTATAGCAAGGGAAGGACAGAAAAGACCTGAAACTAATGTATACTTTTGGCATAATGGCTTGCAACAGGGTTCTACACAAGGTATGAAGAGAACAACTGTTGGTTAGGAAGGATGTGATCTGCTTTATTAAAAATGTGCATGAATCCAATCTTCATTTAATTTATGAGTGTAGCCAATATGAAAATAGGTAAAAATATGGTATAGGAATTTAATGGAATATTCCATATAAAGTTAGGGAAGAAATCTGGCCTGTACTTAGATAGAAAATACCTCATTCTCCACCAGCTCATTGTTCCAACTTTTTTGTAGTTTTTGTGATACTAATTAGGCAAGATTATACAAGCATATCGCAATGTTGTGATTTTGCTACCAATATATATTTAAAATTATTTTTTTTAAAATTAATCTATTATACCAACATTCGCTAACATCCTATCCAGAATTTAAGGGGTTTTGATTTTCAAATTTTTTTCTTCCAAATTTTCTGGGGGGAAAATGGGGATAGTAAATATTTGATAATAAATTAAAGCAAATCTTGACTGCCTAGGTAGAAGTCCTTGACCTCAAATGTAAAATCTTTGAGCTTCTTAAAAAAAAAATGCAATGTATACTTAAGATCAGTCTCTGTACCAACGTCCTATAAATATGAGTTTTCACATAAGTATTATAACTAGATTATATATTATATGCTATATAATATAAAAAATAAAAAGAATAGATTTATCAGACCTGAATAGGTCTGGGTTCATGGTAGATGATATGATGAATGAATCAAACCAATGAGTAGCTTTTAAAAAAGGAGGCAAATGCCATATTGAGAATCATTAGGAAGAGACATCAAAATAACTGTCAATATTAGAATATTACAATAGCAATAAGCTATGTTGACGTCAGCAATAATGAGAAGAAGTTGCTAAGAAACCCAAATTTGGAAGCCCTTGTATTGTAATTTCTCCTTGATCCGTCTCTCAGACAGCTGGTTTTTAATTCTGAGAGCAAATATTGGAAAAACAAATATTCCAGAAGAAAAAGCAGTGGTAAATCACTTCTATATAGATAGTCCTCAACTTATGACCACAACTCAGCTCAAAATTTATGTTGCTAAGTCAGAAATTTGTTAAGTGAGTTTTGCCCCATTTTACGACTTTTCTCACCACAATTGTTAAATGAATCACTGCAGTTCTTACATTAGTAACATGGTTGTTAAGTGAATCTGGTTTCCCCACTGACTTTGCTTGTCAGAAGTTGCAAAAGGTAATCATATGACCCCAGGACACTGCAACCATCATAAATGTGAGTCAGTTGTCAAGCATCAGAATGTAAATCACGTGATCATGGGGATGCTGCAATGGTCATAAATGTGAAAAATGGCCATAAGTCACTTTTTTCAATGCCATTGTAACTTCAAATAGTCACTAAATGAATTATTGTAAGTTGAGGATTACATGTACTGCTTCCCCCTCCCCCAAAAAAAGCCACATGGATGCATTGGTGAAATCATTAGGAGTCAACTCAAGGGAATTTCATCCTGGATGTCTGGTGCCTGTTATATCACCTATGATCCAGTTGCATTACTCTCTATGACAACTAAGCTGGATTTATTGATGAGAAAGAACTTATCCAGGAATTTTTAGACTCCTGTATTAAAGGTATGAGGACAACTTTTCTGAGTTCATATAGCAATAGTACTTAGATATACAGTATATATAATACTTCATAATGCTTTACAGCCCTTTCTAAGCGGTTTACAGAGTCAGCATATGGCCTCCAACAATCTGGGTCTTCATTTTATCAACCTTGGAAGGATGGAAGGCTGAGTCAACCTTGAGCCGGTGAGAATTGAACTACGGAACTGCAGGCAGTCAGCAATCAGCAGAATTAGCCCGCAATACTGCCTACTAACCACTGCGCCACCAGGGCTCTTATGCCGGTTACCCAACTTTTTTAAAAAGAAAAATGGAACAGGTCCCTGACCTACCCTTTGTATCTATTTCTCTCATAGGTCTATCTTTCAAAAGCTAAAATGCAGAAGATACCCATACAGATAATCTAGACAACTTTTTAAATAGCAGAATGATAAAATGAATCAAGAGACCTAAGGAGATGTTTAATATTTTTCTGACTTATTACCATAATTTGTACATATTTAAAAACAGTGACTTTTTTGGCCTTTTTTTTTCCTCCTCTGCAAGTCCAAATAAA